TCAGGGATCGAGAAAGTAACGGTCATGAATAGGAAGATGACGTTCTCCATGCCTCATCCATGACCAAAATGTCGTGTGACAAAAGGGACGTGATATGGTTGTATGAAAGGTTGCATCGTTCAATGATCCTTATATGTTTTGGGTAGTCGTGATGTCTTGCTAGAGACCGCTTATGACTTGTGAGTCATTATAGTTAATGGCCCACTGCCAACTTCATATGGGCCTACAGGGTCGCACACAAAATAGCCCAACACGAGTTATAATGTCCAGATTCATTGAATCTAAGATATGTCTAGATTCAATGAATAATATAGGGTGGACGTGTATATATATATTCGTATATATATATATATATAAATATAAGAGATATTAATTGTTAGATTTAATTTATAAGGATAAATTAGATCTATGTAAATTAATTCCGTCATATCTTTATTTTTGAATTAAATAAATAGGTGAATTAAATCTGTGAGACGGATTTAATATAAACTGTATTTATTTAATTGTTCTCTTATCTAATTATGCAATATTTGATATTGTATTAATTTCGGAATTAATTTAGGATTAATTTCGAAATTAAATATCATTCATAATGCCTATAGCATCCTATATATTCGATATTAGGGAGCTAGGGTTTTGGTGAGTGAGAGTGAAAGCACTAAGCAGATAAGGGACGGCCAAAAGTGAGAAGAGAGGATGGATTTTTGAAAACCCTAGACGGACATAGATGCTAGCACGTCGTTCGAGATTGAGGGCTACTCGTGTGGATACCGGTAGAGGAAGCCGACCGGAGTTGTCGACTTCGAACGACAAAGGAGGCGAGCAGAGGCATCCTGAACGGCGGAATCACCGAGCCACCAGGAAATTGAACACCGAAGGTAATGCTTCTTACTACCTGACTTAAACGGGATCGGTAGATCCGGGCAAAAGATTGAAAATTTTAAAATTTTAAGTTGATTTCTGCTGCGCGTCGTCTTTCAATTCCCTTCAACTTCCACCTTCTTCTACCCTTACCACGCCGAGCTCTTCATCGTCTCTCCACTCTCTATGGACGAATGTTCCAACTTTTTCTCGGCTATGTCCCTTGTATTGTTGCTTCAACTCCTGAAATCAGCAAAGAATTCCTTAAAGTCCACGAATCTTGCTTCTTCCAAAGGTCCCCAAAAGCCGACGTTCGCTACCTATTGTATGGATCCAAAGGCTTTGCTTTTGCACCTTATGGACCCTACTGGAAGTTCATGAAGAGGCTATGCATTTCTCAACTTCTAGGTGGTCGAACCCTAGATGTCCTCATGCCGGTGAGGCGATCGGAGACAATGAGGTTTCTAAGAGTTATGCTTAAGAAAGGGTTGGTTGGTGAAAATGTTGATGTTGGTCACGAGCTCTTGACATTAAGCAATGGTATTATATCACGAATGATTATGGGTCGATCTTCTTCTGGGAATGATGATGAAGCTCGAGAGACTAGAAAGTTGGTGATAGACATGGTGGAGCTTATAGGGAAGTTCAATGTATCTGATTTTATTTGGTTTCTTAAGTACTTCAATTTTCAGGATTCGAAGAAAAACAGGCTGAGAAGGCTTCGAGAGAGGTTCGACGTTTTGATGGAGGAGGTGATAAAGGAGCATGAAGACGAAACGAGGAAAGTGAAGAAGATGGCTGGGGAAGAAAGAAAAATAAGGGATTAGCTTGATATTTTACCCGACATACATGATGATGAGACTTCTGAAATAAAAATTTCCCTAGATAACATCAAAGCTTTCATCTTGCTAATAAGTTAAACTTTAGTTACTTTCATGTTTACTATCTTTGTGTTTTACTCCCTCCGATCCTTGATTGATACACACACACTCACACTCTTTTAGTCCTATTTAAGGGATGTTTGGATGGAAACCAAATCATAATTTTAAAAGTACCTTTACGATATAAAAAATAAATATGTGGAGGAGTTTGTCTTGTTTTGCAAAAAAGTATTTTTAGAAAGCATTTTTGATATAATCCCAAACACCTCCTTAAAGGACTGTGAGCGAAGGCATTTTTTGATCCTATTGAGAGAATATTTTTGTATGGATATATAATTTTACTATTAATTTATTATTGTGTTGACTTTGTTTACATAGCATATAATATATATTAAATAGGGATAAAGTTAAAAAGCCATTGAATTTTAAATAAGAGTTAATAAAATTTATTTTTTTTGTCTGTATAAAACATGTTAGAAGTGACTTCTAAATAGGATCAAATGAGTATATATTAAAGAGCTAATTGAGTAATTTAGGTAGGTTAAAAAAGTCAAATGAATTAGTTAGTTATAATAAATGTGATTTGATCTCTTTATAGAAGTTCTTGCACATAATTGGCAGCGTATGTATTTCAAAAGCAATACTATGCATATATGTTGTTAAATATTGCAGGACCTATTTTTGGCTGGAAGTGACGCATCAGCCTTAACCACAGAGTGGGCAATGGCAGGATTAATCAACCATCCCCATGTGATGAAGAAAGCAAGAAAAGAGATTGATTCAGTTGCAGGAGAGGCGTGGATAGTAGAGGAATCTGACCTAGTCAACCTAACATACCTACAAGCCATCTTTAGAGAAACACTAAGGCTTCACCCAACAGTGCCATTATTAGGGAGAAAATCATCTGAAAGCTGCAACGTTTGCGTTTTTGAGATTCCATCAAATACAATGTTGCTTGTAAACTTATGGTCAATTGGGAGGGTCCCACAGTTGTGGGAGGACCCACTTGAGTTCAGGCCAGAGAGGTTTATGATGAATGATCATCATGATTATGGGAATTTTGAGTTAATTCCATTGGAAGTGAAAGAAGAAGTTGTCCTGGTGCCTCATTGGCACAATAGATTGTGAAAACTAACCTAGCTGCTATGATTCAATGCTTTGATTAAGAGGTGATTGGAGGCAATCAAATGGTCAATATGGACCGGAAACCATCTTTAACCCTTCCAAGGACTCATCCCATGATTTATATTCCTGTGCCCCTGCTAGACCCTTTTCCTTCTATTGTGTAGGTGTAGTAAGTTTTTGTTCAGTGATTTTGTAATGCCTAGTAACTCCCTATTCTTTTATATTCAAGGTGTGTGTAATTATGTAAAATATTCTGATATAAATTCTAGTTTGTTTCTTCTAAGAAATTTTCTATTAGCATATTTAAAACATATCAATTATGTAGTGAAAATTAAGTGTGTGGGTATTGTGTGGGAGGAAAAAAATTGAAAATTATATGAGTTAGGCAAAATACTCCTCGGTCCTTAATATAGGACCCAATTCTTGAGTTGATTTTGGTCCTAAATATAAGACCCATTTCTCATATTTATCAATTTTCTCTAAATTACCCATATGGATACTTCCTCAACCATAATCAAGTAGAAGAGGGAGATGGGGTATTAAGAAAGATGATTATAGTGTTTTAGGAAAAATGTGTCATTTTTCTTATAATTAACTAACTTACCTAACTTCCTTAATCTAATCAAATTAGTTAAATGGGTCTTATATTAAGGACCAGAGGAGTATGTGGTGAACGGCATTGCTCATGATTACAGGTAAGTGTAATTTTGTAGGCTATGATAATATATCAAGTTTCTCTAGAATTAAATCCTTTTGCTTAATTCATAGAAATTAAAAAAAGGAGTTAAATTGATACATGTGGGCAAAAATGAACCCACTTTTATCTACCAAAATCTTAAGTTTACGGAATGAATTTCCAAATCCATTTAATTTATGATTAGCCACCCGGGGGCCCTCCCTCTTCCACTTCTATTTCCCGAGTTACAGAAGAGAACATATGTCTTAGGAGCAAGAAAAAGGTACGCGTGGAGCAATAAAATTTACTTTAATTTCTCGAGAGAAAAAAAGATTCGTCCGCCTTCAAAAGGCCTATGGCAATTCCTTGGGGCCAAACATAATGGGCCTAAAGTTTCAAACAAGGGGGACCAATTGGGTTAAATCTAATTGTTTTGGGCTTCTTCTGTATGTATCTAAGCCCACTCAAGCATACATGTTTAGAGAGAGTTTAAAGAAATTTGAAGCTGCCCTTGCTGCACTACTATTTCTTATGTAATTACCACTTTTTTTTTAGTTATTGACTGTATTTGTGTTTATTTATCCAATGATTATTTTTGTTTAACTGTTGATTACTCTATTTTTGTTATTGACTAATTTTTTTTCAAAAATTCAAAAATGTATTAAGTGTTGTGAGTTTTAGGGACTATTTTTATTTAGATATTTATTGTTCTTGTGTAATTAATAGCTATACAAAAGTAATCATCAAAATTTTAAAAATAAAAATAGTCAATAGTAAAGTTAGAGTAGTCAATAGCTATACAAGAATAGTCACTGAGAGTATAAGGACAATCTTGTCATTTAAAATTTTAAAATAATATAAGGAATTTGATTTTGGGGTTTTGAAATTCATCCACAATAATTTGTCTTCTAATATTTTTGAGGATATTTTATTTTTTGCCCTACAAGTTCTTCTCTCACTCTAAATCATATATAGAGTAGAAGATATCAATTTTTGTCAACTGCCTTGTATATTACATAAATTGGGCAATGATGCTGCATGTATAAGTAAAGGGTATAAATCTCTACTTGTATAAGGTTCATGAAAGTAAATATAGCAATTGAATTTATTAGTGCACCCTTAACATAACATAATCTTATGATTTGGGCTTAAAATACATAATTATAATTACTACTAATTAAAGTGAGGAGATATACATGGAAAATAGATGGCTTCCTTGTTCATGGAACACAGCACAAGTAGTGTAAAGCTCTCTCGTTCTCTCTATCTCTCTCTGGCTCTATCATATTACATTTCATATAAATCATCAAGTGGACGAAGGATCTCCAAATCGGAACACTTTGACGACGTCGTTCAAGTCTCTGAGACCACGACATTGCCCAGCTTCATCATGCACGCTCATCAGTTTTTGGCGGATCATCAAGTGCAGAAGAACAATGATGACGAACTTTACATATATAGCAGAAACTACACATATATTATTGCTCTGGCGAAATCTTGTGATGGTTAGGATCTGATACGTTGGTGACTACAACTTGAATGGGCTCATCAAGATGATGTTGTTGGCTCATTTCTGATGATGGCACCAACTGAGTCATCGTTCTCATTTCTTTGCCCTTTCCCCACAGCACAACGTACAACCCACACACTATCAACAATGCTCCAACCACACTGCACGTACAACGTTAACCAACAAACCCCCAATTAAATCCAATGTTTGATATATATATATATATATATATATATATATATTTATAGAGTATACTACCTTTGTCCTTAGTATATATAAGAGTTGGTTTAACATCCAGTTTGGTTCTAAATATAAAATCCTCTTATATTTATCTATTTTTTTCAAAGTAGTTCTTATAATAATTACACATATTAAAGGTTTTATCAAATGATAGTTCTAACTAATACACATATTTAGTAAGGGTATTTTGGGAAATATAACACATATTTATTACAAATAATTAACTCAATAAAATTTTTTAATCTATTTAAATTGGTCAACTAGCTTTTGTATTAAGAATTGGAGGTAGTAGTTTAGTTATAAGATTCAGCATCAACATTGTACATACCTTCCCAAGTAGAGCTTCTCATTCAAGGTCAAAGAAGCAGCAATGGCCACTATTACAAGCATTAAAGGGGTGAATGCAGAAGCAAACATTGGACCCCTCATCCTCACACACCACGCGATCACTATCACCACCATCCCAGATGCAGCAATCCCCTGCAAAATTCAACAAAATTCTTTTAATCATTTACTCAATCGGTCTTAAACATACGAGTTCAATAACTAATTTGTAGGCATTAAAAAAATTCGTTTATTTGGAGAGAAAACAGTATGTCGTTTTCTTTTTCCTAAGATATCTCTTTTAATCATTTATATTAAACTGCCTAATTGATGGAATAATCAATCTTTTAACATGGAAGACAGAAGGGACGAATGCCTTACATTATTTGATATCGGACGTTACATATGGATGGTCATTAGTGTCAAGTTTAAGGGGGACAAATTTCTCAACATGTTTTGTTTTATCATCTGTATTGTTCAAATTCTTAACTTTATTGAAGGAGGATTATGTAACTTCCACTAATATTAGTGATTTTATGCTATTATAAATAAAATAATTGATAGTAACATACCGCAAAAGAAACAGCCAGGAGCCTAACATTCCAACCCAACTTCCATTGATTAAAATCTCTTTCCATACAGAGGGCAAACACAGTGGCTTGTATTGATCCCATTGTAGACATCAAAGATGTGCTTGAGAGATAGCACGGATATTCCCCACTCATCTTAGCCTGTTCCATATATCAAAACGACAATTCAGATATCTCTGAATCACAAATTAAACGACATGATGAAGAAGATGAACAATTAAATAAATAAATAAATAAATAAAGTGACCTGAATAATTAGCCAAAAGGCATAGGAGAAGCAGCTTGCAAGGGCACAGAGAACACCAAGCAATTCTGAGTGAGCATGTTGTGGGGTCAATACGACGCCGTTTTGGTCATGATGATGGGGATGCAAAAGGTTAACGTGGAAGGACCAAATGTGAATTTCGAAGCCTTTGAAGAAAGTAAGAAGCATTGCCCCACCAATGCCTATTATAGTTCCTAACACCTTCGCTTTTCCTCCTGGTGCTCCCAAACTTAATCTTTCAAACCTTTATACATTTAACACCAAAAAAAAAAAAAAAAAGCAAATAGGTTGATTAAAATAAGTATATCTATTATGCATAGTTAATTATTACACTAATATAAAGTCCTATTTGGTAAAGTTTAATTTCCACTAAGTTGTATAATAATTAACAAACAAATTTCAATACAGCTAGTAATATATGCTAGTCCAACTTGTCAGACCAACCCAATATAACATAAAAACAGATTTAGTTTTGGTAAAGTGACTTTTTTTTTTTAGGCTAAAAAAGAGAGATAAAGCGTCCCACGGAGAAGAGACTCATCTCTCTCTACAAACACATATAATACACACAATATATATATTTATATATCTCACTAGGCCATAGAGAGAATTTCGATATTCATTTTGGAATGTACGATCAATGGGTGGCTTCAGCACTGCTTTATATAAAGCAAATTTATATCATTGATGAGCATGTCGACAGTTAAATATTTATAAAAACAAGATAAAGATTAATTTATTCAGCGAAGAAAAAAGGAAAGGAAAAGAGTGATTTGACTTTGGTCATGCAGATATGCTATTGTCAATATTATCTCTCCCTTTAAGCCTCTTTAGCCACGTGGATAATTTTGATATAAATATAATATTGGATCACGATACGTAACTTTAATTTCCACTAAGATGTGACTTCAGCACAGCTTTGTTGAAAATGTTAGTTAAATAAAAGTATAAAAAATATTTTTTGCTCAGAGGATAAAAAAGTTAGTTAATTTACTAAAAAGATAAAAAATGGAGACAAATATTATATATACATACCCACAAGAGATAGCCAAGATGAAAGTGATGGCCGGAATAAGGTTGTAAATAGCAGAAACAAACGTTGCCGATGTTAAAGCCAGAGCCTCAAAGTAGAGGTTTTGAAATAAACTTCCCCTGAAATATAATTAAAAAATAAACATAAACCATATGAATACATATACCAGTTATTTAACATAAGTGATTTGGTCATAAAAGACAAAGCATATATACTTGTTGTTTTGGTGGCGGTTAACCCTAGAATATCCAAACAAAAACAAGGACGTGCAAAAGGGAAGAAATATGTACCCAAATAAGCCACAAAGAAATGCCATGAAAAGTACTCTCCAAGTAAGCTTTGGTCTCTTGTTCCTGTCAAAACACAAACAACAAAAAGAACCATTTTTGGCCAAGTTAATATAATGAACTCCGAATTAAGTAACCCTCCTACTCCTAAACGCAGGAACTACATAAATAACTAATTTACAAATAATTAACAAAATTAGTTAAGTTAACTATTATTTATTATATATAAAAAATCTGTTTGTTTTCCTCAGAGAACTTTTTTTATTCTTTGCAATGAAAACTATCCTTGTATGAAAACCCTTTTTTAATATGTTAAAACCAAATCAAATTTCTAATTAGCTCGTACGTTTAAGACCAGAGAGGAAGTAATGAAGGAGGAGGAATCAGACCTTTCAAAGACAAGAGCGAGAGGAACAGTAAAAGCAGATGCAAAGAGAAGACGATAGGCGGTAGCAATCCTCATGCTCATTCCATCATTAATGGCGAGCTTATATAACACATTCACTGCTGCAAAAGCAATCTGAACCATCACCATTAATATCACTGGCTTTAACCCATTCAACATCTTGCGTAAATCCTCCATCTCTTCACAATGCTCTCTTTCTTCTTTCTCAACTATAAGTTTCTGAGTTTTAGAGAGAGAGAGAGTGAGTTAGAGAGAGAGGGGTTTGTGAGGTTGTTGAGTGGATGGTGAAGAACCACGGAAGTGGTGAGTATTTATAGAGTTTCTTATTAGGTGTTCAAAGGAGGAAGAGTTTGAATGATGATATGGATTAATCGTTTTGATGCAATGAATGAATAGGAATTAATTAAAGTGATAGTGATTGGGCCGACGAAAGAATGTGCTATTTAGTTAATAATTAATATTTTATTGTTTCTTCCGTAGAAAACGGAATATCTTGTTGTCAACTAATATTTACCGCATAAATGAAGTTTGAAATAGTATATTTACTGTCCCCATGTTTGGTAAAAACATAACGGATCGGATATAGATCATTTTTGCTCCCAAAAAAAATGGCAGTATTACGTTGATGTGTTGCTAATATAACCTGTAACATATAACATGGATAAATGCTTGAAATGTTTAAGTCAATTCTAGGACTTGTGTACAACAGTGGGCGAAGTTTTGATAAAATTTATCTAAACATCTTTTAGATTAATAATATTTACATATATAACTTCTCTGAAGGGGCCAACATGTAATTTAAAATATATAATAAATAAAAAATAAATTATGCAATTTATCATCATGCTTGGCATGACATAGAGAGGAATGAATTTTAATTTGTTTTAAAAAAATTGGACAGATGAAAATATTAGAACAATATGACAGAAAGATGTGTTCATGGCCATATAATCCTTAAACTACAAAATAATAAACTAATTATTCATAAAAATAATGATGTGATATGATTAAAAATTATTATTTTTTGTAACTAATCACCATATATAAAATTTATAAAATAAAAGATAATGAACATTTCTAGTAAAAAGAGGACAATCTTGGGTCATTTTCAATTTATTCCAGTTATGGCTGAACTCATTCCACTACTACCTAGCACTAGCAATCGAACTTGGAACCTCTAGACAAGAATAAAACATTAATGACTTACGGCAACAAATGGTGGAAATTTATCCCTAAAACCTAAAAGTAAAAGACATGTGCAAGGAATTTTAAATTTTCCTAAAATTAGAGGTTTTTTAATTTCAATATAAACATAAACATTCTTTAGTTTTCAAACATTAATCTTTTTTTTAAAAAAAAATCCTACACAAACATACTCTTTAATATAATGACTAATTATACATACATTCATTGAATTTTCATAACGCTATACATACAAGCCTCTTTTCTATATTTAAAGTATACATGAAAGTCTTATTTAGAAAATAAGAGATGTACCTGTACTTTCAGATGTATGTATGTGTACTTTTACAAAAGCTCTCGGATAAAATCTGCAAAATTTATTACAACTTGTTTTTTTTTTAAAAGGAGATTTGTTTAAGTTCTAGAAATAATGATTGATGTTCATGTAATTCAATAAAACTCAAAGAAAAATCATATATTTTACCCTCTATTTCTTCTGGTTCTTTTTAACGCTATTCCTTCTAGTTCTGAACTAAGACTCTGTAAATTTGAAAAGGAAGACGATATATTCATGTGACTAATTATTCTAATTAATAAGCCGGGGCTTTATAACCCAATTGACACTAAGCACGTTTTTAAGCGCGAGCCTGTGAGCTCAAACATTTAGTAAAAGGTGGTATGTAATGGGTGCGTATACTATAGGTTTGTTTGAAATTGTTTATAATCAGATTTTTTTAATAGGAATTTATTGAATATGAGGTAAGTATGTGAAGTCATTACGTAAAAATGCTTATAAGTAATTTACAATTGCCAATCCGTATGAGCACTACTATTTTACTACAGGAAAGAAAAAAGTCACTCTACCTAATAATAATGCTCTGTTTTATGGACCAGACAAAGGAAAGACAAAAGAAGAATAATTGGAGCAAAAGGGGGGCTTCCCGTGTTCCACAAATAATCTTAGGTTGTAAAGCCAACGATCGAGAGTCACACTTTTGAGAAGAAGTTTGGTCAATGAGGACGTCTTTCCAAATGCCAGCTTGCCAATAAGACCTCATGCTTTTTATTATGGTGCTTCAACTTTATTCAGATGGATACATTTATCCAATTAACAGAACCTGGTGGTGGCTGTGTACATGTGTGCGCGCGCTATTATATTTAATTTTTGAGCATGTTAGTTCAGATTCAATTCATCATTCAACACTTTATATGAGTAATTTTAATAAAGATATTAAATGTCAAATAATTATAGTACACCCATGTGGAAATTATGAAACAGGAGCGTTTGCTTTAGCCTTTTCTGATTTCTCTTTGTCTGGTTTGTGTTTGTTTGGTCATCCATCTTCTGCTGTGCGTGCGTGCCTTGTTTTATAGCTGCATCAAATGTATCAGCATCAGAAAATGTTTGCGTTAGATTCTGAAAAATTTAACAAAGTAAAAATTACTTTTTGGGGGAAAAAACAAAGTAAAGATTACTTACATTTTTTTGTTGATTTTTTAACAAACATAAAATTTTTTCCTAATTTATTTAATTTCTTTCTTCAAGGAGAATAATAGAAATTAATTTTTCTTGAGCATTGAGGGTAAGGATAATTAAGGGTAAATCTATCTCTCCCAATTAGGTTTTCCATATAAAGGATTAAGAATTGAAAACCTAACCATTTGGCTAAATAATGAGAGACTGTACCACTCACGCTAATAATTGATCTGAGTTGGTAAGTTTTGGGAACTAGTTTCGGTGCTCATCCATTTGATGAGCACCATAAGCTCATCAAATCTGAACCGTCCATATCTCATTTGGATGGTTCAGATTTGATTTCTTTTTTATTTTTATTTATTCAAAATAATTATTTTAATATGTAGAGAATCTAAAATAGTGATGATCTCTTAACTATCATTCTTTCAAAAAATAGTTTATTCTATTTAAAAATAATTAATTAAAGAAATCAAATCTAAACCTTTCAAATGAAATATAGACGGTTCAGATCTGATGAGTTTATGATGCTCATCAAATGGATGAGTACCGAAACTGGTTCCGTAAGTTTTGCCTAATTCATGATTTAACTATTAACCTTCACTTATAATGCTTAAAAACCGTTACCTCAATTCTTGAAACCCTTCCTAGACAATAGGTAAAAACAGCATAGACTAAGAGAAACTCATGCCTATAATTATATGCAATAGTTCTTTTTTTTTTTGTGGTTATATGGAGTTGTGGATATGGTTTTTATTAATGTTATAAGATGAAAATACTATAATACACCTACACATAAAATTCTTATATCGTGACAGCAAAAAGAAAAAAAAAATTCTTACATTATATTTTTCTGATTCTATTTATAAGTTACTTCTAATATATTTTAACTGATTAGCTGAGTTAGCTTAAATGGTAAGGATGAAATATATATATATGGCTAGACATTAAAAGGTTCAAATTCTCCTGACGTAATAAATTAAAAACGAAAAAAAAAGAACTCAACCCAAATTTATTCTGACGTGCGAAAACTATCTTTTGACAAAAAAACTGATCTTTGTGGGCCGCATAGATAAGTACCTTTCATTCTCTGCGAAAGCAGCCTCACAATTGTTCATATTTAAGCTGAGGAGCTCAATAATTTGGCTTTGTCTTGTCCGATAGGTGCATACACGTTTGGTGACCTTGACTTCTTTTTTGAGCGCCAAAAGATACCTCAAATAATACTCTTCCGGTCCTTAATATAGGACCCAATTCTTGAGTTGATTTTGGTCCTAAATATAAGACCCATTTCTCATATTTATCAATTTTCTCTAAATTACCCCTATGGATATTCTCTCAACTATAACCAAGTAGAAGAGAGAGGGGTATTAAAAAAGATGATTATGGTGTTTTAGGAAAAATGTGTCATTTTTCTTATAATTAACTAATTTACCTAACTTCTTTAATCTAATCAAATTAGTTAAATGGGTCTTATATTAAGGACCGGAGGAGTACTATAGTACGCGTTTCCTCAAAAGCAGTTTTACCAATAGTTAATATTTCTCGTATCTTTGATATAAGATCTAATTAACTAATTTGAGTAGATAAAAATATTAATTAAATTAGTTAATATAATTTTTTTAAAACATTCTAAATATTTTTCTTAATTCTCTCCATTATTCTCTTTTTTTATTACTGTTGAGAGAATATCAATATGTTCATTGAAATTTACGCTAGATTTTTTTTTAATAATTGTAGTGAGTGTCAATCATACCGCTATGACTCATTTTTAAAATTAAATGTTGTGACGCATGAGAAGCCTCCCAGCTAACTGGTTATCTATAATGTAAGTTTATTCGCCAAAAATAATTTCAGCAATAATATTTATGTTACACACATCAACAATTTAGTTTTAGAATAAAAAGTTAATATCGTTGCGAAACTGGTGTATGATCCTTTTCAATTCATGAATGAACATTTCCTCCAATTTTAAATGAAGATATATAAAACAGTGTCAAATATTATGCATGCATGTGGAAGTTTGGTAGACAGTCATTTTGCCTTTTTTATATTTGGCTTTGTGATCTTGTTTACATATGTTTGGTTATGTTTTGTAATGTTTTAATTTGATTTGTTTAATCAATATATAGCTGCACCATGCATATCAAACTCTTCTTTTACTTTTGTAATAAAGTGGTGGAAAAAATCTGACAAAAAAAAAAGTGGTGGAAGAAAGAGGCATTCGTAATTCTGTGGGTGGGCGGAGTATCGTTAGCATGGTGACGATATCAATATATTAAAAATGTTTTTAAATTAATAAGCTGATCCATGAATTCTGAAGGCTTATAATGATTGTGAGATATAATATATAAATATATATATATATATATATATATATATAAAAGAGAAAGAAAGCTTATAATGATTAAAAAGTCTTGTCAAATATATACATTTATTAGGGTGGAAAGAGTACACCTTTGTTCTTTAACTTTTAATAATATTTTATTTTCATCTCTTAATTTTATAAAATATTCTTTTA